TTTCACCTTCATTATTTTAAGTATGATCTACCGACACCGTATGCAATTCCTTGACCTCATGGAGCCAGGGCTTTAATTCTTCCCAGACCTTAGCCTGTTGAACAATGGCTTTTAGAGGTTTGACTCATATAGTTTCTCAGATTCTACACTGGACATTTTGCATTAAATTCTTTTGCTCTCACAGAGCAAATAATTGACTTTAAGGAGTTTGTTTATCTTTGGGAATAAAAACACAATAAAAAAAATTCACCATGGTGGGCTAGGGTTGTGGCTCAGTGGTAGAGTGCTTGCCTAGAACAGGTGAGGCCCTGGGTCCGATCCCTAGCACCACATAAAAATAAATCAGAGGGAGGGCTGGGGTTATGGCTCAGAGGTAGAGTGCTCGCCTAGTATGTGCAAGACACTGGGTTTGATCCTCAGCATCACATAAAAATAAATAAAATAAAGGTATTATGTCCAACTACAGCTAAAAAAATATTTAAAAAATAAATCAGAGGGATACAGATATTGTGCCCAACTACAACTAAAAAATAAATATTAAAAAAAATTCACCATGGTTAATTAATAACTCGGGACTAGATATTTTGTACTTTACCTGGAGAAGAGGGCATGGGAATATTTTAAGCCTATAGTGTATTGCAGACCAGGGGGAGCATCAATGCCACTTAATATCCAGGAGGTGAAAGCTCTGCAGTCATGTGGGAGGTGGACACATAGCCTCTGAAGCAGCTTCCCTCGTTCACTAAACATATCTTTATGGCATGGCTCTGGTTGCTTCTTTGTCTTACCGAATCGTCTGGAGGCATACACAACATCAGAAGTTGAAAACAGGTACAGGATTGTGTGGTTTGTAGACCAGGAAAGCAGGCAGGCTATGTGAGTGTGACGAAGGCTTCTGGGGAGCTTTCAGAGGTCAGCCAGCTGTGCCTCAGCCTTGAGTCACAGTCTGTGCAGTTTTGGACTCTTCACTGTGATGGGCTGCAAAATAGTGTTCTCTCAGAAAAGGGTTTCGTTTCTATATTAAATTTGAGTAGACTCTCATCAGTCTTTCAGTTTTTTGCTGTTGCTTTTATTCATAGAATGTGCTTTACTTTTTTTTTTTTTTTTTTGTATCAAGGATTGAACCCAGGAGCATTTAAGCACTGAGCTATATCCCCAGCCCTTTTTTACATTTTATTTAGAGACAGGGTCTCGATAAGTTGCAGCTGCTGGGATTATAGCATGTGCCACCATGCCTGGCATATGTGATGTACTTTGGCCTATATGCATATAGACCTTTGCCTGTATTTTCTTCTAGTTTCTTGTGTGTTTTTAGAAAAAGCACATTTAGGGCTGGGAGTACAGCTCAGTGGTAGAGTGCTTGCCTAGCATGTGTAAGGCCCTGGGTCAGTCTGTACTGCAAACAAACTCCCACATTTAATTTTTTTAATCAAAAATTTGGAGTTTGATTTATTGTACAGGGAGGGTAAATATTTTTTCTCTTTTTTTATTAAAAAATTTTTTGTGTGTGATTGTAGATGGACACACAATACCTTTATTTTTATGTGGTGCTGAGGATTGAACCCAGTGCCCCATGCATGCTAGACAAGCACTTTGCCACAGAGCTATAGCTTCAGCCCTTTTTTCTTTCTTTCTTTTTATATAGTTTTTAGTTGTTGATGGATGGATCTATCTATCTGTCGCTGAGAATTGAACCCAGTGCCTCACACAAGCTAGGCAAGCACTCTACCACTGAGCCACAACCCCAACCCTCTTTCTTTATTCTTGGGATGGGGTCTTGCTATATTGTTTTGCTGGCCTCATACTGGTGAGCTGAAGCAGTCTTCCCTTCGCAGCCTCTCATGGCTGGGACTACAGCTACATGCCCAGCTCCCTTAATTTTATTCTAATAGCTAATTGCCTTAGTATTATTTATCATTGTTATGGGTTGGATATGGACGTCTCTCACAATCTCTTGTGTTGAAGACTTAGTCCCTAGTATGGTAGTGTCCAGAGTAGGACTTTTAGGAAATAATTGGATCGTAAGGGCTTTGATTTCTTCAGTGAATTAATTCATTTAATGGGTGGTTAAATGTTGTTGTTGTTGTTATTTTGCAGTACTGGGCATTGTGCCCAGGGGTATTTATACCACTGAACTATACCTCCAACCCTTTTCTAATATATTAGTTTTGAGACAGGGTCTTGCTAAGTTGCCTATGTTTTTTTTTTTTTTTTTTTTTTTTTTAAGATAGAGTGAGAGAGGGAGGGAGGGAGAGAGAGAGAGAGAATTTTTAATATTTATTTTTTAGTTTTCGGCGGACACAACATCTTTGTTTGTATGTGGTGCTGAGGATCAAACCCGGGCGGCACGCATGCCATGCGAGCGCGCTACCGCTTGAGCCACATCCCCAGCCCCTAAGTTGCCTATGTTTGCCTAGAATTTGTAATCAGCGTCCTGAGTTGCTGGGATTACAGGGGTGCACTATAGTCCCCAGCTGGATTAATAATTTGAATGGATAACTGGGAGGAGGTGAAAACTGGGCAGGTGGGACATGGTTGGAGGAAGTAGGTCACTGGGGGCATACCTTTGGGGACTATATCTTGTTCGTGTTCCCTTCTTCAGTGTCTGTCTAGCTTTCTGTCTCTGCTTTGTGGCTGCCATGAACTGAGCAGCTTTCTTCTGCCGTGCCCTTCTGTCTGGATGTTTCTGCCTTGGAGCCAGCTGACCATGGACTAAAACTTCTGAAACCCTGAGCCAAAATAAATCTTTTCTAAGTTGTTTTTCTTAGATACTTGTCATAGTCACAAAAAGCTGATTAACAATCATGTGACCTACCTTTGGTTATAATGGCTCTGAAACAAGAGATATCAAGCAGTATAAATGTATATGCCACTGTCTTCCTCCCATAAACATAGCATGAATGTACGTTCACATCATGGTGACTTGGATGAAAGATACGGAAATGGTTCTGACCTGAGGGTGGTAAGAGGTGTGAGCTTGGGAGATGGAAGACTTGGTAATATCTGTTTCTGCAATGTAATACTTGAAATGTTATATGGATGAGGCAGAAAATGTTTTGTGTTTATTTTAGAGGGAAGAAGTTGGCTCAATGGACAGGAGTTACAAGGAGGGATATTTTAATTCAGGAAAAGGAATAACTTTATAACTAAATGTTGGATCAGTTCAACAAGCTCAGTTGTAGCAAGTATGTCTACAGAAATCCTTCTGTTTTTCACCAGGGATGTGCTGCCAAGGATAGAGAAAGGTGGAGAAGGCGGACTTGATTTTTATTTTTCTTCTCCATGGACGTAAATCCTGGAGATCCCTTCCTTTCAATATAGGAACCTTAGAAATGTCAGATAAGCATTTTATTAATCTAGTGCAGTGTGATTTCATTGAAAACTGATCCTAACTGGGTGCTATGGCACTTGCTTGTGATCCCAGTGATTTGGAAGGCTGAGGCAGGAGGACCACAAGTTCAAGGCCAGCCTGGGCAATTTAGTAAAATTTTAAAAAGGGCCAGAGATGTAGCTCAGTGGTAGGGTGCCCCTGGGTTTGATCCCCAGCACCCAAACCAAACCAAACCAAACCAAAACAAACAAAAAGCCCAACAATTCTAAACTGTCTCCTACAGTCATTTAGCACAGGCATGCCATGTGGCAGGCTGGTAATGTACATTGCACAGGACAGACGGGCCCCTGTTCCTGGGAGCTGTAGCACTGCCCAGCAGTGTGCTGTAGTCCAGCCTGGTACTTGGCTACAGTGAAGTAGGAAAACCATATGCTGAGTAGCTGTACACTAAAAATAATAACAGATGATGCGCTGCTAGGGAGAAGGCTTGCCCTTGTTCCTTCATTGTTCTGTGGGCTCTTGTTAATGAGGAGGAGATAGATTTCTGAATAGTCCTGCAGGTAGCCTCCCAGTGTCAAAAGGAGTTGTCTTATTAATTTAAAAAAATCATTTTTCCAGTGTGAAATAAATTGGTGATGTAGAGGCTCACATGGTCCTGTTCTCAAACACCTTCAGCTTGCACTCCAAACTTGTGCATGTGTGGTCTGCACCCACTACTTCCCCTTCTTTCCTTCATTCAACTTACGTCTGTCCATTTTCCTGAAGATGCCTGGACCAGGAGCTGTCCTAGGTGCTATGCATTCTGTAGGGTATAAGGTTCACACCCAGCAAGCATTGTTCCCTGAGCCAAACCCCAGCATCCTCCCCTCATTTGTAACAGTGTCTGTTCTGGGGCTGTAAGATAGTTTGTGAAGACACTGACATCTCAGAGAGTGGCAGGTGGCACAAAGGACCTGTTTTGGATGGATAACCTGACCTCTGTGCCCCTTGCTACTGTGCAGAAATGGTCTTAATGTGACCCAGTTTTTAAGCTTTATTATGAGATTGAAGACAGAACTAGAGAGGACTGTAAAAGGCACTGTTGCTTAGTGCCAGTAGTTACCAGCACTTGGCTGATTCCATTTCAGTGCCCCTTCCTTCCTTCTTTCTTTCTCACAGTGGTGGTGTCATGGCAGCCCCAACATGGAGTCACTTTTGCCCCTGGACTCTGTCCTCCTTGGTCATGGCCACATGGACTGTTCTGCTGCATCACTGGGTCTTATGCCTCATGGTCTAGTCCTCTCCAGCCCCTCTAACTCCCCCTTGTGCCTCTACTGGGTTTTCTTCTTGGACTGCATTTCATTGAGAAAATAAAGCTTGCAAATATTCAGATAAAACGTTCACTGAAATTGTATGTTTTGGAAATGACCTTTGGATGTTTTGCTGCTTTTAATCTTTGGTGTTAAATTTAGTTACTGTTACTTATCCATAAAAAAGAATTCAGGCATTAAACCAGAAAAGTAATTTAATGGGCCTGCAAAGGCAAAACAGAAATAATATAGAGCATAGTATTCACAGGTATTATTTACCTGTGAAATGTAATTTAAAAGTTTTCACAAATGTTTCTGTTTAATGCTATCACAGGAGGGAAGCCTATAACAAGGTATTTGATTCTCCTGTTTTCCTCTAGAATGTATGACAACATGTCCACAATGGTGTACATAAAGGAAGACAAGTTGGAGAAGCTTACACAGGATGAGATCATCTCCAAGACCAAGCAAGTAATTCAGGGCCTGGAGGCTTTGAAGAATGAGCACAACTCCATTTTGCAGAGTTTGCTGGAGACACTGAAGTGTCTGAAGAAAGATGATGAGAGCAACCTGGTGGAGGAGAAATCCAACATGATACGGAAATCACTGGAGATGCTAGAGCTCGGCCTGAGTGAGGCGCAGGTAAGTGGAAGAGCCATTTGTCGTGAAAGTGGACTTGATGGTTTGGAAGAGTGGAGTCTTGAAATAGGCAGTTTAACTCAAGTAGAGAGAAGATGCCTGTAGAATATTAGAGATCTGCTTGTGTCGACGTGTGTCTATCATATAAATGAAAACTCACTTTAGCATACTTGAATTTTACATGGCGGTATCCCTGTGTATCATTTAGGGTTTGATTTGGTATCCTGTGTCAAACAACAAAAACAATAGCTTAAGCAACAGAGACATGGATGAAATGAGCACCAGGTAGGCTGTCCTAGGTTGTCTTTGCTGCTGCCCTGTCATCAGGGATGCTCAGGCTGCTGCCACCTGCTGCACTGCAAGCTGGCAGCCATCTCAGGGACTAGGTGGAACTCCAGTGGCAGCCACATGATCTTGTTCAAAGACAGCAGAAGTGAGAGGAGGGACGTGCTACCTCCTTCAAGGCTGCCCCTTAAAGCATGTGCAGCACTGCTCACGGTGCATTGGCCAGATCCTCTCTCTGTGGCTGCCCTGGCTGTGAGGGACTGGGAAATGTTGTCTTGCTCACAGTTCCAGGTGCATGAGCCCAAGAAGCTGGGGGAGAGTGGATGCTGGTCAACAGCCAGTAGGCTCTGCAGTAGCCAGGCCAGATTGCTTTATGTATCTGATTAAAGGTCTGTTTCTGTCATGTGCCACACAGACATGAAAACACTGGAAATGTCTTGGTCGCTTCCCTACCCCTGACAGCTTCTGGCTTAGTCAGCAGATCTGAGGTTAAAGTCAGTTCACTGAAACTTGGCGCTCTCTCAGCTTTTTGTGTGTATAATGAAGGAATGGTGCAGAAGAGTAGCTGCTGAGCCACCGGTTCTTCAGTGACCATCTAGGCCCCAATTTTAGAGTTCTTCATTCCTACCCTGTTACAAATGCTGGTTGTAGATCATAAACTTTGGATTTTGTGACCCTGTTATTTCCCAAGTTCTTTGTTGAAAGATAGTGTGAACATGAGCTTCCTTTTTTCAGTTTGGCAGATGGTAGGTTTAAAAAAATAGGCAGGAAGAGGCTGGCACAGTGGCTCACACCTGTAATCCCAGCAACTCAGAAGGCTGAGGGGGAGAGATCACAATTTTGAGGCCAGACTCAGCAACTTAATGAGATCCTGTCTCAAAAAATAAAAAGGGCTGGGGATGTGGCTCAGTGATAGAGTGCCACTGGGTTCAGTCTTCAGTACTGGGATGGCTGGAAGGGGAGGAACTAAAAGCCCACCTCTTGGAGTTTTGAGTGGATGAATGAATTTACTGGGAATTGAATTCAGGGTACTTTACTACTAAGCTGCATCCCCAGTCCTTTTTACTTATTTTTAAATTTTGGGATAGGGTCTCACCAATTGCTGAGGCTGACTTCAAACTTGGGATACTCCCCCCTCAGCTTCCCCCTTTGAGTTTCAAGTTGTAGACCTAGAAGTAATGTAGTTTCTGTGCTGGCACAGGAGAGGGGCACGATCTGCAGAGGGACTAGGCTGAGGCCAGTTGACTCCCTGCTTTTTTTTTTTTTCCCTTTCTTTTCCCTTGGTACTGGGGATTGAACCCAGGGGTGCTCTACCCCTGAGCTATATTCCCAGCCCTTTTAGTTTTTGAGACAGGGTCTTGCTGAGTTGCCCAGGCTGGCCTTGAACTTGCAATCCTCCTGTCTCAGCCTCCCAAGTGACTGGGATCATGGGTGTGCACTGCTGTGCCTGGCTCCTCACCCCTTTTTTGCCTTTATGTTCCTTGCAGCTTGCTTAGAACAGCTTTAGGTAGGTCTGCCCCCAGGTGCCAGTGAGTACACAGCTGGCAGAGATCTGGAGCAGCCAGCAGATTGTGCAGCAAACATAAGCTAGTGAACATGCTGGTGCCTTCTGATGCTCTGTGGTGGCTAGAAACTCCTCCCATATGTGGAAGGAGGTCTAATGCCCCCCTTCCTGATTCTACCACCAGCCCCTCACTTACCTGTGCTTGGGACACCCGCTTTCATGTGGAAAGTGCCCATGTGGAGGTAGATTGCAGCTGTGTCAAGAGAGTAAATGTGTGCCTATTGATAATCACCTTGAGGTGCTCTCATGTAAAAAGAATTGGTGTATTTTGTAAATGTGAGCACGTGATAACTTTCCATAGACCCATAGATAACTTTCCATAGAGTGTTGTCTGTGGCTGAATTGCATGTGAATTGAAGGAAATACCTGCAGGTGTCAGTTAGAGCTGCTCTCAGGTGCTCAAGTGGATAGGAGGGGCTCTTGTTGGCTATTGTCCAATAGTATTTCTTCTGTCCAGGTTATGATGGCCTTGTCAAATCACCTAAATGCTGTTGAGTCAGAGAAACAGAAACTACGCGCGCAGGTTCGTCGCCTGTGCCAGGAGAATCAGTGGCTGCGGGATGAGCTGGCCAACACACAACAGAAGTTACAGAAGAGTGAGCAGTCCGTGGCTCAGCTGGAGGAAGAAAAGAAACACCTGGAATTTATGAACCAGCTCAAAAAGTATGACGATGACATTTCCCCCTCGGTGAGTGAGTGGCTCTGTCCTGAGATGGTGCTGATATGCACTACAGCTGGGGGCTGTGAATGGAGGCTCAGCAAGGGGTAGACGTCCTATCGTGTCTTTCTTGTGTTTTAGAGCAGTGATCAGAAGGTGTAAAGGACGTTTTGTAAATACCAGGCCTCGCATCACCAAGTTCTGCTCCACTGCTCCTGACATTCCCTGCCCTCATGGGCTGGCTTCCATACCCATTGGCTGCTGGGTCAGCAGGGCCAGTACCACCATCTGAAGTCCAACTCTGGGCTTGTCCTTGACCTTGTCTTTGACCTCATCCTCGATGCCCGCCTAGGACACTGCCAGGTCTTCCTGCTGCCTCTCTCGTGCCTCCTAGGCCTCCCTAGCCAGGTCACCTTTCCCTTCCTGGAATGTCAGGGTGCCTCAGGGGTCTTGTTGTTTCTTTTTATGTTGGCTCTCTCTGAGTATTCATCCGACTCTCAGTTATTTTTCTTCCACCATTTATTTCTGATTCAGTTAGCTTCTTTTTTATTTTGGAGTAATATGTTAGATTGGGAGAAAAGTTGGAAAGACAGTGAAGAGAATTCCCCAATCCCCTTTACTTAGTTCTCTCCAACCTTGACATTTTACATCAGCATATGTTTTTCTTTTTCTTTTTTTTTTTTTTAAATATTTATCTAGTTGTAGACGAATATACAGTAGCTTTATTTATTTTTATGTGGTGCTGAGGATCGAATCCAGTGCCTCATACATGTGAGGCAAGCGCTTTATCACTGAGCTCCAGCTCCAGCCCCAGCATTCGTTTTTCAAAACCAAGAAGTTAACATTGATATGCTACTTTTGACTAAACTGTAGACTTTATTGGAATGTTGTCAGTCCTTCCAGTAGTGGACCCTCTCTGTTCCAGGATCCCACCTCTAGGACTTTACAGAGTATTTGGAACTGAATTTTATTTTATGCCTCTCTGGGTGCCAGACATAGTCTCATGCATGATCAGTGTACAGTGAATTCCACATTGGTGTCCCTAGTTGGAACCCTTGTCCTAAGACCCCTGGAGCATCCTTGTGTGGAACACCAGCAAACCTGCACTTGCCTTCTACTTGGGTCACCATGACAAAATACCACAGGAGGTGGGAATCTGAGATCAGGGTGTCAGCAGTGTTGTTCTGGTCAGGGCTGTCTTCCTGGCTCGCAGTTACCTTCTTGCTTGCTCTTGCATGGTGGGGTGGAAAGAATACATATAAACCAACTCACTGGGTCCTCTTCTCATGAGGACACGCGTTGTATCATGAGCCTCACACTTTGGCTCATCTAGCTCTAGTCCCCAGGGAAAATAGTTGAGGTGATATCATTCTGATTTGTTAGACTTACTCTGTCCCCCTTAGGTCTCCTAGGTCAAGTGGGGAATCAGATGTTTTGATTTAGACTGCTATGGGAATAAGAGTTTATGGTGTCAGCCAGTGATTTACCTGCAACACTGAAGAGTGTTGAGAAAGGGGGCTTCTCAAAGACTTTAAGCTCTTTATTTTGAAAACAATTCAGACTTGGAGAAGACATGTTTAGAGCTGACTCTCATGAGCTATTGTTCCTTCTGAACCTTTGGAGTAGGAGGCAGGCACATCATGCGCTTCCCCCTGCTGCTTCTGGGTGCAGTTCCCTAGTGAGGCTGTTCTCCCGTAGAAGCCCGGGGCCAGGGCTGGTTCAGGCACTCTAACACGACTGGGCACTTTTTCTCCTCTGCAGCCTGGATTCCTCTCTGCTAATTGTCTCAGCAGTGTCCTTCCCGTCGTATTGTCACTGCATCCTGGATCCAGTTTGGGACTATGTGTTGCACACTGTTGTCCCCACTTTTTAGCCCTCTTTCATTTGCAGCAGCCCTCAGTCATTTTTTTTGTCTCTAGTGACCTTGGTGTCTTAGTGCGGCCCAGCCACTTTAGCCAGTTTGGGTCTGTGTCATGTTTGGATTCTATACTCCTAGAGGTACACTCTAAAAGACGTGAATTTACCAGGTTTCACCTCCCAGCAGCAGTGTCTGCTGCCCCATGACTGCTAACACCTTACCTGGGCCAGCCGCTGTCTGTTCCCTCATCCAGGATGCACTACCAGCGGTCTGTGGGGAGGTGGAATCATAGAGCAGAGACCGATAGCTCCCACCTGCTCTCTGGGCTCTTGCAGTGGAGCAGTGGTGGGTAAAAACAGAGAGTTCAAGCTGTGGCAATCAGAGGTGCTCCGTAGTAGTCTGTTTGCAAATAAGATTTTATTTCAAGTAAGCCTTGCTCTGCTTTGCTGGAGCCTTCTTAGAGCATAGGTGAAGAATTGGAGGCAGAGAAGTGTAGCTGTCTGTCTTATCAAACCCTAGCCTGTATTTAAGTGTTCTGGTGTCTACTCTTGCAAGCACTTCATTATTCTGTTGAACTGATAGGTGAGCCACATGGCTGGTGACTCTATGAGAGCTTAAACACTGCCAATCTTTCCTAAGATTTTTAGTTAAATGAATTTTATGTTATAGATTTTCAGGCAGGATGTGTACTGCTGTAGAATAAGAGATGCTTTGGGTCTCTTTTGTAGGAGGACAAGGACACTGATTCTGCCAAAGAGCCCCTGGATGATCTCTTCCCAAATGACGAGGACGAGCCAGGCCAAGGAAGTGAGTGGCGAGTAGTGTGGTTCATCATGCAGTCTACTGGAGTCCACTTTCTCTCTGAGGATGTTCCTGACAGTCAGTGGGAACTGTAGCATAAAAGCCTCAGCACACACGATTGTCTTTGTCCCCTAAAGGTGTTTGGGGCTATGGTGGTGCGTAGGCTGGACCCTAAGAACCAAATGTACACTCATGGCGCAGGTGTGGCCTGCGGGTCCTTGCAGGTAGAAGAGGTTGGAGTTACTTCTTCCTATCACTTTTACAGCCAGGAAGTCTGATGCAATTAGCAGCAGACAGGGCACCGTCTCTGTCAGGCTGAGGTTTTTTTCCCATCTTGCCCAGGGGATATTTGTAGGTTGAATTGGCATAGAGCTAACTTGAATCAGAGGTAGTGGAAAAATGTCAAACTAACTGCCTTCTGTGTAGCTGTCCTGCCAGCCCTCTGAACTGTGCTTTCTCTGTGCAGTCCAGCAGCAGCATAGCAGTGCTGCCGCTGCTGCCCAGCAGGGAGGCTACGAGATCCCGGCGCGGCTACGCACACTCCACAACCTGGTGATCCAGTATGCCTCTCAGGGGCGCTACGAGGTGGCTGTGCCGCTCTGCAAACAGGCCCTGGAGGATCTGGAGAAGACTTCAGGCCATGACCACCCTGATGTGGCCACCATGCTCAACATCCTGGCCCTGGTGTACAGGCTAGTCCTTAGGTTTCTATGCTGAATTGTACCTGGAGATGACTTTTTTTGGTACTGGGGATTGAACCCAGAGGCATTTAACCACTGAGTCACATCCCTAGCCCTTTCTATTTTTCATTTTGAGACAAGGTCTAAGTTGCTTAGGGCCTCACTAAGTTGCTGAGGCTGATCTCAAACTTGTGATCCTCCTGCCTTAGCCTCCCAAGCTGCAGGGATTATAGACATGTGCCTCCCTGCCTATCTGGAGATAACTTTTTAATCAGCTTGCCCCTTAAAATATGTTTTATAAATTTGTGTGAGCTACTTTCCAATCTTATCATCTGCTTCTCTTCAAATAGCCAGGGGTTACATACAAAATATTTAGCGAACTCTGTGGCAAGGGTTTTACCAAGCTGGAGTAGGCATTGCCAGTATCTATCCACCTGGGTCAGCCTTGGTTTTTGTTTTTGTTTTTTTTTTTTTTTTGGTGGTGCTGAGGATGGAACCCAGGGACTGGTGCATGGTGCGTGCTGGGCAAACATTCTACCCCTGTGCCACACCCCAGTTCTTTTTTTTTTTTTTTTAAATATTTCTTTTAATTGTAGATGGACACAATATTTTTATTTGTTCATTTATTTTTTTTGTGGTGTTGAGGATCGAATCCAGGGCCTCACACCTGCAAGGCAAGCGCTCTACCACTGAGCTACAGCCCCAGCCCAATCCCAGCCCTTTTTTAATTTTTATTTTGAGACAGGTCTCACCAAACTTCCCAGCTTGGCCTTGAATATATGATCCCCCTGTTTTTTGCCTCCCTGAGTAGCTGGGCTTGCATTGGGATGCCCCTGTGCTTTTAGAGTGAATTCCTTAGATGGGCCAGCGTGTACATCATACTGCTGAACTACTTTTCAGTGGACAGTGCTGTTTGTCCTCCTGCTGCAGTATCTCCTATCTGGGTGGTGTTAGCTGACTATCTTTTTGTTTTAATTGGTATTTCTTTGAGTCATGCGTATTCTCCTGTGAATTTCTGTGTGACTTGCCCATTTCTTCTCTTAGGATTTTAATGCTTATAGTTCTGCCTTTGTTTTCATTTTGCATCTGAATTTCTGGTGGGCTCTTCAAGTCCCACTGTGCTGGGCCCTGCTCCTAAAGCTCCTGGCCAGGTGTGTCTGGGTGGGTCTGGCCTTTGGACAAGCAAGCTCCAGCTGTGTTGATGCTGCTGGCTGGCCTGGCTTGGATGTTGAAGTCCATTCCTACTCATGCCAAATGTGGGCTCCACCCTTTTTTGACTGCCTCCAGTATTCTGTGTGGGGCTGCTGGCCCACGTAGCACAGTAGTGCAAGGTAGCAGTGTTGTTTCCATGGTCTAGAGGAGAGGCCAAGTTCAGAAACTGGTCAGGTGTGACCCAGAGCTTACCTTGCCCCAGTGCATGAACTTTTCTCTTTTTCTGTCACAACTAGATTGTCACAACAACAACAACAGCAACAACAACAAAACACACACACATACATATATATATATATACACACACACATATACACATATACACATATACATATCCATCTGTATATTTATACACACACACACACACACACACATACATACACATATACATATATATTTTTCTATATATTGAATTACATATTTGGAGCTTAACTTTAATTTCTATAGTTCCAAAATTACATTTAAAAGGAGTTAGGAGACTGGCTGTAGCTCAGTGTTAGAACATGTACATGTGTGGCATGCACCAGGCCCTGGGTCTAGTGCCAGCACCATTAGGTAGGTAGGTAGGTGCGTGGATGGATAGATAGGTGGGTAAGGATGTTGGTAGGTAGGTGGGTGGGTAGGTAGTTGGGTGGGTTTAGTAACCCACACTGGGACACTTATGATGTGTTTTTGATTCAGGGATCAGAACAAATACAAAGATGCAGCGAATCTGCTGAATGATGCCTTGGCCATCCGTGAGAAGACGCTGGGCAAGGATCACCCTGCGGTTTGTATATCTGGTTCTTTTGATATTTTTACACTTTTTTTTTTTGCCCAGTGTGATTTTTGTCCGGCTCACCCAGTGTCACACTCAACAGCGAGGGCTGAGAGCCGCTTCCCAGGTGCACAGGTAGGGCTCTGCCTGGCAGCAGGCAAGCTCTGGTGCTCACGTACCAGTCACTCCTGATTTGTGGATCACTACCCCTCACCTGGCTCACCAGACATACTCTCTGACCCTAAATCAAATTGCATGTCCTCTTCTAGATTTGTTTCTCAAGAATCTGTGTGTTTTTTGATTAAAATCTGGTCAGATTTGCAGAGATCTCTTTGTGGCTTTTGGAGAAATTAAAAAAAATTAAGGTTAAGTTGATGTTGATTTATTTAATCTTAGAACTGTGTTCTGCTGTGCTGTGTGTTATGAGTGGTGTGAGCAAATCACTGTTCTGTGGTCCTGAAATCACATTCCCATCAGTGATGAGTGCTTTGCTGCGGTATGGAGCATGCCCAGGTCTGCTGGGTGTGTGGCTGTTGCTCCTGACGTCTCTTACCTACGGTCCTTGTGTCCTCCTATGATGGCAGGTGGCTGCGACCCTGAATAACCTCGCTGTCCTGTATGGTAAACGAGGGAAGTACAAAGAGGCCGAGCCATTGTGTAAGAGGGCCCTGGAGATCAGAGAAAAGGTGCGGAACAATGAAGAACTCGTGTTCTCTGAGATTCAGTTTTTTTGTGTTTTGAAAAGATTTTTGTTTTAAATTTTGAGAAATGAGCACTGTGATGGGTCATTGCTGATCATTTACTGAAAATAACTCATTTATAAAGGTTGATAAGCTGGGCATGGTGGTTCAGATATTTACTCTATAGTCCAACACTTGGGAGGCTGGGGCAGGAGGATCCCTTGAACCCAGGATTTCAAGACCTGCCTGGGCAATATAGCGAGTCCCCCTCTGAAAAAAAATAAAAAGATAGCTTCCCAACAGAGCCTAGTTGGCCCAGTCAGAGTGTTAGGCCCATTTAGGGGAGTGTTCAGGATGGCACAGTCCCAAGTGGCCCAGAGACAAGGGGCTCCTGAGCTGCACTGAACAGTGTTTGTGCTTCTCAGTAAGTTCACTCCGTGTTCCTCTTACCGCTTAAAAAGTGGAGTGATTGTGTTAGGACTGAGGACTAACTCGGAGCTCTAGGCCAGGTGCCATGGGTATTTATTAGTGGCTGCTCCAGTTCATGGTGATATTGAACTGTGCTGGGTGTGATGGTGCACACTGTAATCCCAGCAACTCAGGAGGCTGAGGCAGGAGGTTTTCAAGTTTGAGTCCGTCCTGGGCAAGTCCTTAAAAAGGACTGGCAGTGTAGCTCAGTGGTAGCATGCCCCTGGCTTCAGTCTCCACCACGACACACACATAAAAAAAACCCCGAAACCAAAAACAAACAAACAAATAGAAACTAAAACTAGAAACTACTGTGGTGGTCTCTGCAGCACTGTATGAGTGCGTCCAGATGCCGTGGAACCTGGTGCCAGGCCTGTACTGGGTGCCTAAGAGTAATAGCTTAACTTGGCATTTTTTGTGATTGTTTATCAGTCATGCTGAGAGATTAATCACTTAATTTTGAGTCATGGCAAGGACTTTGGGGAGAAAGTGAAAGGGAGCTCATGGCTTGGTTGTGTAGGTAATATTTTGTCGTGCTGTCATCATGTGATACCTTATAAAAGAAAATGGGACAGTTGAGTTGGCTGAGGTCCAGATCAGAGCACACAAAGGTAGCAAGGATCATGAGCTCTATAAGATCATCTGCCAGTTGAGCTGGGTGTGGCGGTGCACACCCATAGTCTCAGCTGCACAGGAGGCTAAGATGGGAGGCTCTGGACAACACAGTGAGACCCTGTCTCAAAGAAGAAATAAAAGATCTTCCAAGTTTATTGAGATATTTACTCTTCAGTTTATTCAGAGCCCCTTGCTTGGTTAGAGTCCCTGCCTCATTGGCCTTGGATGTGGAGTCTCCTCTCCGGGGCTGAAGAGGGCCCTGTAGGATGAGTCATGGGAGCAGGGAGGCTAGAGAAGAGGGCCAAGCAGCTGGGAGAGCATTTGGGCTCAGGTAAAGCAAGCCTTTGTGAAGCCCAGCTCTCTGTTTTCACAGTGTAGTGGGCAGTAATTTGCCTGCGGGAGGCTTGTCACAGGAAGTGAGCACTTAAAAGCAGCCAAGGAAAATCAGCACAGTCCTTCCTGCCCTCTGGTTATTTTTGTTTTGTGGCATGGGAGCCATTTAAGGATTTTTAAGTCTGGATGTGGAACTCAGCCATGTTTATGATGTAGAAGGATCCTTCCTACAGGAGGGTGGTGACACGGCTAATGTTTCCATTTTACCATTCTCTATTCCCAGGTTCTAGGAAAGGATCACCCTGATGTTGCTAAGCAGTTAAATAACCTGGCCTTACTGTGCCAGAACCAGGGCAAATATGAAGAAGTAGAATATTATTACCAGAGAGCCCTGGAGATCTACCAGACAAAATTGGGACCAGACGACCCCAATGTGGCGAAGACGAAAAACAACCTGGTATGTTACAGATGTGGTTGGGCATGTTCTGCACACCTGTAATCCCAGCTGCTTGGAGGCTGAGGCAAGAGGATTGCAAATTCAAGGCCAGCCTGGGGAATTTAGCAAAACCCTGTCTCAAAATAAGAATAAATTAAAATTAAAAAAAAAGAAAAGAAAAGAAAAATGGGCTGGGGTATAGCTCAGTGGTGGAATTCTTGCTTAGCATGCTCAGAGACCTTGGTTCAATCCCAGAACTGAAAATAAAACAATACAAATGTTTTGTTATTTCACCTGTAGATGAAAATGTTTGTTTTATTTACATGTGAAAGACACTAAATATTTTATTTTAAGGCATCCTGCTACCTGAAACAAGGAAAGTTCAAGCAAGCAGAAACATTGTACAAAGAGATTCTCACTCGTGCACATGAGCGGGAGTTTGGTTCTGTGGATGGTAAGAAAGCTTTCATGTATTAAAAAGTGATTTCCAACTATGCAATACCCAGTTCTCACAGTGTTTTCTAGATAGAAGTTGCTTTGAATTTCATGGTTTTCTAAATGAGAAGAGAGCATGGGTCAATCAAGTGTCCATTCACCTGTTTGCTTGTTCAAGTGTCCATTGCTCAGTGAGTGTGGTGAGAGCCCTGCGTGTGCTTTGCTGGGTTTCCTTGGTAGCTCTGAGAAGACCTTCCTTGCTGAGGAACTTAGGGCCCCTACTTCTTAAGTCTTCCCTTGCTGCTGCTCAAGTCTGCTTTCTTTATCCACAGCCTGTACATACTAGCTTAGAGCACCTTGCTGCAGACTCCACTCTGCCTAGGGCACTTCTGTGACCCCAGCAGCCCAGCCTGTTGGCAGTGTAACCTGCCATTTGTCTGTCTCAAAGAGCCAGGCCATATCCCCTTTAGATTCCGTCAAATATTGCAAGTGCTTAAGACACAGTTGTGGATTAAATATTTTACTGAATTTAAACTGCTCAGTTAAATAATTGTGTTAGTTTTCCCTCATTGGGTGTTGGATAGGGCCAGTTGGTGGTATGGCATGCAGGAACCGCAGAATGTGGGTCATTGATGCACATGGAGTGTTTTTTTTTGACTGCTAAGGCACTTTTTATATAAAGGTGTTGCATCCTAGAAAAAGAATTTCAGTATTTTCCTTCTTCATGGCATGGAAACAGGTGGTTCTGCCATTTCCTGGGTCTCTGTGTCACATCTGGAATTGGTCATTCCATGGTGTAACTTGGGCTTCCCTGCTGGGAGCCATTAGCCAAGTAGGTATGACAATTTCCTTGCCAGCGTACCCCATGTTGCTGACATGTTGCAGTGACATTGAATGTAGGTGACCTTGCTCAAGGACCAAGGCAGATTAGGGTGTTCCCGGTTTTAAGATAATCGTGTTTAGGGCGTTCCCAGTTTAGGTTCCAGGTTTAAGGTTTAAGATTATTCCTGTTGGGAATAGGGCGTATCCTGCTGCCTGAGTTCCCCTTGAGTTCTCACGGGATTCAGACAGTATATTTTGGAGATAGAAGCCCAGTGGAGGTGGATTTGGGAAGAGAACGTGGATTTCCCCAGAACGTGATTGTAGACGGCTGGTGTGAGTTCGGGAATAAAGAGTTGCTGTTTGAATCTACAAGCTGTGTGGTGGCTCGTGATTGTGTGCCCAGCCAGACTGCGGCATTTGTGCCCAGCCAGACTGCGGCACTTCCCCAGCAGTTCCCCAGCTCTACTGGTGTCTTGTGTGAGACTTGTGAGTGTAACCTGCCTCTTGGCCACAGTGAGACGTGGACTGATGGTGCTGGAGTGTGGGCCTGAGCGCTGCTCTAGGGGCATCAGCAGCATGTGTCTGTGCTTCATCAAAGCTGTGTGAGACAGCTGCCAGAAGCCTGTTACTTTTTCCTTTTACAGATTTTCTAGAAACCACTTTGGAAACATTTTTCAAGAATGTGCTTTGTAGCCAAGTGCCATGGTGCAGGCCTGTAATCCCAGAGGCTCCGGTGGTTGAGGCAGGAGGATCAAGAGTTCAAAACCAGCCTCAGCAAAACTCAGTGAGACTGTCTCTAAATAAAATACAAAATAGGGCTGGAAATTTGGCTCAGTGGTTGAGTACTTCTGAGTTCAATCCCCAGTCACCCCCACCCCCCCAAAAAAAAAGAAGGAAAAAAACCCCACAAAAAACGTACTTTGTTTCTCTGCTAGTGACTGGAGTGGTCAGTCTGCTGCCAAGGCTGCAGTAGGCCCTGGATTTGCCAGGCCAGGAGGTCTGGTGTAGCCATGTGGCAGGGCTGACTGTCCCGCTTGCTTGGAGTGTCACAGTTCACAGGGAGCATTCTGACTTACCAGCCACAGAGGTGCCAGGTCATCTCTCCTGATGCTCCTTTTCAAAAGTTCCCCTGGAGTTAAGTGATTTCTTGGATTTGCTGTCTGCTGCTGCTCAGGGTAGTAATGGGCAGTTTAGTTAGTCGGGCTCAAGTTTAAAGCAGTTTTCTTTACCGAGTTTATTCTCCATGTAAATCCTAAAACACAGGACAGAAAGGCCTTTTCATAAGCCTCATTTTTAAGATTCTTTTTTCTTTTGTGGCGTGGGTTCATTGTCTAGTGGGAGGTATTCATGTTCTGAGCAGTTGGGACTTCAAAGGAATATTGATTTATATCTTTTCTGCTTTTGCTCCCAAATTCTTCTACTTTTTCTCAGACTTAGGTTTAATGTGAGGTGCTCAACTTCTGAGTGCTTCCATTATGACGTGAGCCTGCATCTGTTGGGTTGTTTGGCCAGGCACTTGCCTGGAATGCTTCTGCATCTCCTCCAGCATGAACTTGATCTGTCCAAGTTGTAAGGAGTAATACTGAAGAAGCGTTGTCCACAAACCTTGCAGTCACTGAGACCTAACAATTTCTGCTCACTGGGCTCTTGCTCTGCGGCTTACCGAATGTTGTTATTCTTCCCCAGATGAAAACAAGCCCATCTGGATGCACGCTGAGGAAAGGGAAGAGTGCAAAGTAAGGCTGGTTGAGCGGAGGGGTGTGGGTGCTCGGCCCTCACAGCCTTCATGTTAACTCTCTGTTACGGTTTAGGGAAAGCAGAAGGACGGGTCGTCTTTTGGAGAGTACGGAGGCTGGTACAAAGCCTGCAAAGTTGACAGGTGGGTCTGGTCAGCCAAAGACCTGCACTACAGAGAGGTGCTGCAGGGCTGTAGGAGCAGCTTGGGAAGGTCAGATGTGGGGATGTCCCCAGTGTTGGGTAGTCCCAGATTTCCCCCAGTTCCATTCATGAAATCCCACCATCTCTGCTAGTGGATTATTTGTATGCACACAGCCCACTATGGAAGAGTGGGTCTGCCCACTGCTGCTCTGTCAAGGAAAGCCACCCAGTGGAAGGAAGTGTGGGACTTAAATGAGGAGAACAGCACTGAGGCAGCCTTGCAGCTCCCAGGGCGGATGTGCAGCAGATCTCAGAAGGCCAGCACTTGGAAAGCCTTCCCCAGCTGCTCGGGGCATGCTGATACACGCCCGCTTTGCCCTTGTGGCTCTGGGGGTGAGTCTCCCAAGCCTGTGGTCCCCTGCACTCACATGCATCAGGGCTGCCATGGCCCATCAGAGCAGTGCCCCTCGTCTGCTTCTATCTCCCTGTCTCAACTTCCTCCTTCTCGAAGACTCGGCTCCCCTCTTGTCTATTTCAGGAAAATAGACAGTACATGACAAGCACATCTCTTCTTCCTACCCCCTGAGCACTGGTCTTACAGATATGGGAGTGTACTGGAAAGGCCCAACATTGATGAGGGAAAACAGCTCTCACAGTACTCATCGGTACTGCAATGCTGCGGGGTTTGCTGACATAATAGACCTTCCTGTTAGGAGTCCAACTTGTCTGCAGTCTCCTCTTGCTTCTTTAACTCACACCTGTCATTAGCTGATGAGCCTCTGATGAGACAGGAGGTTATGACTGCAACATGACAACCTGCCCTCAATCCTGCCCAGCACAGGCTGAGCTCTGTTTCCAGGGGCATGTGCTGACCCCTGAGTAGGCCAGCTACATGCCTCTGTGGTGGCCAGGGGCCCACCAGCAGCCAGGCCCTGGATGGCTTCAGCGTCTGCCTGGTGTGAGCTTTGCTGGAAGCAGCAGGGTCTGACGGTGTTGGCAGCAGGCCTATTTGGGCTGGGAGTGCTCTTCAGAAAGTTGCGGTTGAAGGAAGAACATGTCCCATGGCGTCCCCTGCCAGCAGACTGTGGGTGACTCCTGCTTGCCCTCTGTGCCCAGGGCACTGACAGAGAAGCAGGCTGTGCAGCGGGAAGGGAAGCGAGGGCCTGGAATATGGCAGTACTCATCCGTACTGCAGTGCTGCGGGGTTTTTCTAGGTTGCCTACCTGTGATGGTGGCCACCTAAGCCATGTCCGTAATAGTGCTGCATGTTGTATGCTTTTTTTTACAGCCCAACTGTTACAACTACTTTGAAAAACCTTGGAGCACTTTACCGACGTCAAGGGAAATTTGAAGCTGCAGAGACATTAGAAGAAGCTGCCATGAGGTCTCGTAAACAGGTGGGTCATCCTGCTATCAAAAGGAATGGAGTACTGACAGCTGTGGCAGTGAGCTGTGAGACCTTCAGCCCTGAAGGACAGATGTAGGGTTCTGTCCAGGTGAAGCAAGGCATTCAGAGCAGGCAAATACTCAGAGGCAGAAAGCAGAGCTGGGGAGAGGAGTGGAGCAGTTGCAGTGGTAAAAGGCCCCTTTTGGGGTGGGGAAAGTTCCTGAAGGAGATAGCACAAAGCTGACAGTCACTGGCACTTGCCTACCTCTGGGTTACATACATTGCGTCTCTTTTTAAAGGAGTTAGATGAAAAAGATGACTGCTTCATAGTTTTTTTCTTTTTTAACCTGTTATGAAATCCCCTAACTGTGCACACTAGAGATGCCTATGGAGAGCAGCCCCGGTGTGTGCCCTGCACGGATTGGGCCATACACAGATTCCAGGGAGGGCGTCCCTTCGAACTGCCCCCTCTGTGGCATGGCTGCTGTGGAGGCTGGCTGTCCTGCAGTGGCAGCCGGCCATTGTCAGAAGGCTAATAGCTTGGTTGGACCTTCTGCTACCTGATTAGTGGGGATTCTGTAAAGAAGCCCTTTGCTCCTCATCTAGGGATAAAACAACAGTGCTGAGACAGGAAAGATGCTTGTTCGTGCCTTTTAGCCACCAGTTCAGGAGTAAGGCGTTATTTTTATGCAGAGGTATGTGTGTACGTATGACCGTGGCAGTTTCTGTTTTGTATTTTTAGGGTTGGGGGACAGGTGTAGGTATTTTTTCTCTGACTGGAATACCTGTAGGCTATTTTTATAGTTGTGGGTTTACAGCCACTATTTTGCTGAGTGACGTGTCCTGTAGAGTAGTCTCACAGGTGAGGAGAGAGGACAACATACTTGTGAGTGTGGGCAGAAGCCTTTCTTCCCTGCCCTGCCCTAACCATGCTCCTCCTCCTGGGCCCTCTCCATTTGCAGCTGGTGTGCAGAACGCTTCCCTGTGTGAAGAGGGGTCCCAGGTGGGGCCTGGGGCAGGGTTGATATTAGTCCTGTGACAGGTGGTGGCACTGGGGTTAGGCGACATGTGGTGTGTTTGGAGTGTGGAGCTGGGGGCTGAAGCAGTGCAGAGAAAGGACCTGGGAATGCTTCAATCCCTGTCTCCTCTGGGCTTGTGCCTCAGAGGGAAGAAGCCACAGAAGGCAGGGAAGGGGCAATGTCCACAGCAGGACTCCAGACTTGCTCACTGTGACCCAGGCTGCAGGGGGGGCCATGGGGGTCTCCTGCTGGGACTCCGTGCACTGGGCCTCATGCAGACACCAAGGAGGGGCCATGGACAGGAGAGGATGCGTGTTCGTCCGCTGGTGATTCCCTTTTCTTATTTTGGTACTGGGGCTGGAGCCCAGTGCACCACCACTGATCTGTGCCCCCAGCCCTTCCTATTTTGTATTTGAAGACAGTGTCTTGCCACGTTACCCACCTTGGCCTCCAACTTGGCCTCCAACTTGCGATCCTCTTGGCTCAACCTCCTGAGTTGCTCATCACTTCCTAAGCTGTGAAAAAGTGCTTGTAAAATATACCTTTTGAGAGTTAGTGGCTGGTTGAAAAAAATTTCTATCAAGAATAAATTTAGGGGCTCGCCTGGCATGCGTGCGGCCCGGGTTCGATCCTCAGCACCACATACAAAGATGTTGTGTCCGCCGAAAAACTAAAAAAAATAAATATTAAAATTCTCTCTCTCTCTCTCTCTCTCTTTAAAAAAAAAAAAGAATAAATTTAGGGGGAGGGGCTGGGATTGTGGCTTAGTGGTAGAGAGTTTGCCTAGCATGTGTGAGGCACTGGGTTCAATTCTCAGCACCACATATAAATAAATAAAATAAAATTCATCAATAACTAAAAGAAAAATAAAAGTAGGGGCTGGGGTTGTAGCCCAGTGGTAGAGTGCTTGCTTAGCATGTGAAAGTCATTGGGTTCCATCTTCAGTACCACATATGAATAAATAAAATAAAGGTATTGTGTCATCTACAATTGGAAAAAAAAAAAAAAAGAACAGAAGTAAAGCCAGGCACAAGGGCACACACCTATGACACCAAGGACTCTGGAGGTTGAGGCAGAAGGGTCACAAGTTCCAGGCCAGCCTCAGCAACTTAGTGAGACTCTGTCTCAAAATAAAAAATAAAAAGGGTTGGGATAGAGCTCAGTGGTAAAGTTCTCCTGGGTTCAATCCCTGGTTTTTTAAAAAAACACTTATTAGTTTTCAAGCATGTACCTGAGACACCAGGTGTCTCCTAGCATCCTGTGAAACTCCTCACACCTGAGGAAGTATAGGGCTCACCCTAGTTCTCCACCTGGATTGTGTCATGTTTCAGACACTTGACCCCATCTCTCTCAGCCATCCTTCCATCCTTTTGAAGCATTTCAGATAATTTGTAGGTATCCGTACACTTCCTACTGAATGTTTCAGTATAAATCATTACCTAGAGCTCAGTATCTGTTTATAGCTTTCTGCCTCTTTTTTTTTTTTTCTTTTGTACCAGGGATTGAATCCAGGGTGCTCTACCACTGAGCCACATCCCCAGCCCCTTTTATTTTGTATTTTGAGACGGAGTCCCCCTAAATTGCTGAGTCTGGCTTTGAATTCACAATCTTCCTGCCTCAGCCTCCTGAGCTGCTGGGATTACAGGTGTGTGCCACCACACCCAGCCTCTTTACAGCTTTTAATTTGAAGTGGACACTCAGTGTACCGCAGTCCTGAGTTGTGGCATTGTGGACACTGTGTAATCCCGACCTGTCACATCATTAGGAAGTCCTCCCCTGTGCCCTTTCCTGATTTTTTTTTTTCCTCCTGATAATTTACCAACTGGTCTTTTCTTGAAGTATCTGAGAAACCCCTGCTCAGACCTGCCTGCTAATGGGTCCCACGTTTCCCCTGCCTGGCTCACAGGGTCTTGACACTGTTCACAAACAGAGAGTGGCTGAAGTGCTAAATGACCCTGAGAACATGGAGAAGCGGAGGAGCCGGGAGAGTCTCAATGTGGACGTGGTCAAGTACGAGAGTGGCCCTGACGGAGGGGAGGAAGTGAGTATGAGCGTAGAGTGGAACGGGGTAAGTACAGCGCACAGCCAGCTGCGCGGAGCTGGCGGGCGTGCTCGCGGCCCTCTCCGTCTCCTTGCTAGGCCTTTCCCTCTCCTAAATCAAGTGCCTGCAGCATCCCACAGCCTCACTGCTGCTCATACTCCAGGCCCCCGCTTGCTTGCAGTGTAGCCTCTTGAGAGCCCACGGGAGCTGCTTGGCTTACCCCTGAGCTCTCCATGCTGACTGAGTGTCCTGGCGACTCAAAGCATTGGCCATACTCAGGTCTCGTGTCACCCCAGGAGTCGGTGTGGCAGACGACTAACTGGCTTCTCTAACTTGCCTGTTTCACTGCTAACTCAGTGCTCCCAACTTCACTGAGCTGGCTGCTCTGGATGTGTTAGAATTAACCCAGGTCATCTTCAGAGAGATGGTGGAACTTGTTTTTAGAGAAGAACAGCTCATGGACAAAAGCATCAGGGTGGCCACTCCTCCCACTGACCACCTTAGTCCTGCCTGCCAAGTCTTCACTCTTGGGGCATCTGGCGATCCCACTCTTCACTGTTGCCTGTCTAGCTTCTCAGGTGGAGACTGCTTGTGTCTGAAACAAGCAGACCCCTGAGAGCTGCACTGGCTGGCTCTGGGGAAGTCCACTGCCCAGTCTACCCAGGGTTGCAGGGAGCATGTGACCCCAGCTGCTTTTCTGTACATGGAACTGGTGTCCTCGTCAGCAAGGATTTGCCATCCATGTGCACCATCGAGTTTTTGAAGCTGCAGCAGTGGTTTGATTAGCTGCCATTGTGCAATTTTGTTAAACTGCAGTTTGGGGCTTCTTATGTCTGTCTTATAAAGAATCCATTTGTTCTTCAGGATTTTCTTTTAGCTGTAGCAGATTGGTAGGAGCTTGCATCGCAACTGAGCAGTCTGGAAAGTGGAGCAGCCAGAGTTTCAGGGAGAATATTCTCTCCATTGTCCTAACCTGGCAGCTTCCTTGCTTTGGATCTTTCTGTGCCAAGACAACCAATCAGCATCTGCTTTGACTGCTGAAGCCCAGCTGGGCAGTGGTCCCAAACTGCAGTGAGGACAGGGAGTCCTCCTGCCTATGTCTGCCCTGTTGGAGCTGTGTACTGTACTCTTCTCGGCTGCTCTGTGCCTGCATGCTTTTCCAAAGAGGGACCTGCCTGCTTGGTCTTCAGTGCCTGCCTGCAGAGTTTGACTCTCTTGTATGAAGTTCTGGAGGAGTTTCTCTTGAGACAGTATTTCTAGGTCCATGTCTATATGACTCTTGTGGCAGTGAGACTGTGACAGCCCAGGGCTCCACCATGTCTTCAGGACGTGCTGGGGAAGGAAGGGGGGCTTCTCTTGTCTACCTGGGAAGGGGCTTGGGTACCTTCCCAGCTGGATGTGGCTGGAGGTGGCCACATGCTGGGCAGCAGCACCCCCACTGTCTCTTGTCCCGTTTCCTTTCTCACTTTGGATACATTATCACATAGGACATACCTGTGTGGTGACTTGGGGCTTTACTTTCTAAGTAGCACACTTGACTTCCAGACAGCGGTGCCTCAGGGCGCCAGTTCAGAGGTTCCTGAATGGGGCAGGGTGCCCTTCTTCCTATGGAGTGGCCAAGGCCTTGAGACCTGGGATGGCTGTGGCCTTCAGACTGCTCTTTGCAGCATTGAGCTCCCCTCCCCGGGCTTTTGATTTGCATTTTATTTTCAAATTGTACTTCCATTATTTTAAAGAGGCAGTGAAGGCCATGTGCACACTCAGGCATTTCTTTTGTCAGCTGTGAGAGGTGTGGTTACACGAGGAACGGAGTTGACTTGGTTCAGACCTGATCACGCTGCAGCCCAGTGTGTTCGTCTGTCTGCACCAACGATCAAATGGTCTCTCCTGCCGGCTATAAGTGAAGGCTTCCTCGAGGTCACACAGCAGGCCATTTGAAAATCTGGCAACCACTGTGTGCCTCAATATTTTTTTCAGGATTATGCATTTGAGATAAAACAAATAAACTGGGTGTTGAGGCAGATGTCAAGAGTGCACCTGTCACCTCTTACCTCAGATTTCAAGACTGCACCAGTCACCTCTAACCTCAGATTTCAAGTTTTTATTTTAAATTGTGATTTTGCATAAAATTTTTTAATTTTTAGAAAAAGAATTTCTGTATCTGATAATGGGTGGGGTTGATGGGGAGGGAACCCAGGCTTGGCACATGCCGGGCCAGCGCCCCAACACTGAGCTTCACCCAGCTCCTCAGTGCTCTTCACAACCTCGGAACCCGCCACATGGGGGAAACCATGTGTCACTCTCTTGGGTTGTGGCAGCTTCAGAGCCAGTGCAAGGCCTTTTGCTTAAGTGACAGTGGCCATTTCCACAGGACGTTAGTTTTTCTCAGTATTCAGAAGTGGCATAGAACAAAGGGTGCCATGGTCAGAGACAAGACAGACGGTCCTGGTCATTGCCCCTGCGCTCCTGTGAGTCCCCTTAAGCGGGGTCATGTGAGCAAAGGAGAAGGCCAGCAAGGTCATTGGGATGCTGAGGACTTGGGGAGCGTGGGTGTCAGTACTGAACACTGGGGTCACTTGCTGAGGAGGCACAGCTCTCTTCTCTTGCCTGTGCCCTGCCAAGGCTGCGACTCCCTGGGGCTCCGAAGGCAGCTGGGGCTCCTGAGCCCCCTGGAGTGAGCACAGCTGCCCCCGTATGGGAACCCTTTTCTCGGTGAAATTGAGCTTCCTTGGCCTCTGTCCAGGGGCTTTGTGTCCTGTGAAGTGGGTGCTTCAGTCACAGGCACCACGAGGCCCTTCTGGGCTGTCCTGGGTCGAGGTCTACTGAGCCAGTGTCAGGTTGCGCTTCCAGCCCCCTGTGCCCAGGGAGCCTCCTTCCCCGGCCTGTGCTGGTTCTGCTGCCAGCTCAGAAGCTGCCCTGGCTGTCTCCCATCTCCCAGGCTGTTCTTTGCTGAGATTTCACTACACTGAATTCCTCTTACCCAGGATTATTGGGGAAGGTAATAATGGTTAATTAGAAGTAGATTTTTATTTTTGAAAAATTACCCTAGGAAGACAACTAGATTATACCAAAAGGGAAATTTAAAACCTGCAGCACCTGCAGCCTCCCTGCTCAGAGGCCCCCTGTGTGACTCGAATGTCTTCATGGCATGTAAAGAAGTGTCAGGATGCAGGGGCCTCCTAGTTCCCAGTCCGTCCCAGTGGAGTTCTGTCCAGTCTCTGGGTGATCACCGTCCTTAGGTGGCACGTGCAGGGTGGGGACCAACCCTAAGGGGGCAGATGTGCCCAGCTCTGGTCCAGCCCAGCCCTGAGTACCAGCTGCAGACCTGGTTGCAGGGCTCATAGGAAGTGGTGGCTGGCCTGCATGAGTGTCACCTTCCTCCCCAGCAGCTGCAAGCGTGTGTGTGCGTGTGCATGTGAGTGCGTACCCATACCCTGAGATCCTTCTGGACCCTGTGGTTAGCCTAGGATCAAGCTTGGGGAAGGTGAGCACCTTCTGTGGGCACAGTGGATGGCAGGCACAGAGCACCAGCCTCCTTTCTGTGAAGAGCAGCGGGAACTTCTGATTTATTTCCTCCCAGCATTCTCGAGGCTTTGGTAACAAGTTTTATTTTTCCATTTTAAAGATGAGAAAGATGAAGCTCGGGCTGGTTAAGTGACTTGCTCAGCGTGAGCCCCATGGTGAGTCAAGTGGCTGGGGACAGGCCTGCGTCTGGGCTCCTGTCAGATGCGGTTGTCCTCGGGCCAGACCCAGGAGGCCTTCCTGCCCGTGGAAACTCATTTAGGATGTCAACTGCATGTTTAAAATGTGCTGTCGACTTTTAAAATCAGTAGTTCTTAAGTTCTGAAATGTCTAAGATGTCAGTGTTTTTAAGAGAGTGGGAGTCCAGCCTGACTTGGGGAGCAGTCACAGTGTGGGGTACCAGGAGAGGCTTAAGAGGGAGAGCTTCCCAGGAGAGGCCCAGGTGGTGGCCTTCTGTGGCCAACGTTTTGGTCCCAGCAGATGCCTTCCAGTGCCAAGTCTGCTCAACGTAGTTACTTGTGAGAACTTTCACAGTGGGCCTCAAGGAGATTTCTGACTTGCCAGCCCACACTCCTAGAATGCTCCCTTTACTCTGACGACCATCAGGAGTACCCACCGATATTCTGTAGGGTGCCCTGGGGCTGGGCACCTGCTCTCTGCGGGGCTGGTAGAAGCAGGTGGCAGAGGCAGTGCCCAGTGCTGAGGCTGCACAGTGCTGTGAGAGCCGTGACCTAGAAGTACTGTAACCAAGCTGCGCGGAGCGCGATCTGCTGCCCTGTCCTCACCGCGGGTTCACGTGGCTCTCTCTCCTTTCTGTCTGACAGGCCTAGCCGCCCGTGTGCCTCTCACACTGCTCCTGCATGACGGGTGGCGCCTTCTCCGGCTTCCCTCTCTCTTCAGTGCTGCCCGCTGTGTCTAGCAGCCCCTAGGAGCTTGTCAGAGCTGCACCTCTGTGACTGGCCATTCCTCTTGGTGCTGCTGTCCTCTTGGGGGCTCCTGATTTCTGTATACATGTAGCTTTGCCAGATATGTACTTAGTAATAAGAACTGTATTAATAAAATCCATTTACTGTGTAATACACAAGTTCAAAAATTAAGAGCGATTAGCTGTTCACTCTGATTCCAGGTAGTTAGAAGTGTCGCACAGGAGTTACCATGGTGGCATGACGGTGACCTGTGGACAGTGGCGAGCTGTAGGAGTAGGGCATGTGCTGCACGTCCCCCTTGTGCTAGAGGCCTGGCGGGGCCCTGCAGGGCCTCCAGGACACGCTGCAGTAGTTTGCTGTGTAGTCTTGTGTGAAGTTTAGCGATTCTGCTCTGCTCTACTAATCCTCAAGTGCTCAGTGACGTGTGTATTTGTGTCTTTCTAACTTCTAATAAACTCACTCCGGCTGACCTGTGTCCTGCGTCTGTCTGCTGGGTCCATGAGCGCCGTGCTGCAGAGCCCCTGAGCCACGGGTCCCTTGGGTCTCGCCGAGGGGCTGTTCTCAGAATAAATATCGCTGTTCACACACATTTCCTTCTGTGTCTGATTTCTGTTGGGTTCTGCCAGGAGTTCATTCCTAGTGTCTGAGCTGGTCACCGTGCCAGGTGGTCCCTCTTTACTTGCTTTCTTCAGGGTGTCTGAGGATGTTTAGTTATTTGTAGAAAATGAACATTGCATCTAATTTTCTCACTACATTGATACCGACATTGAAGGAGACCTTCTGTTTGCTGGGTGCTGCCTGTAGCTGGAAGGGTCCAGAGGATTCACTGTCTAGACCAGATGTTCACCTGTTTATTGAACACGGGATTTGATTGTGGTGACATTCCTCGAAGCTGCCCTAGTTTCCTAAAGTGTGTGTTGTCTTTGTCTCAGGGCAGCAATCTAATTGTCTTGCCTTGGGGAATGTGATGGCTTGGTTTCTGTGAGCTGCTCCGCACTCAAGGGGTCTCACCACCATTGGCTCATCTATAATGAAACTGCACGTGGATGGATTTCTGTGCCCACGGCCAGTTGGTGGCTTCTCAGGACTAGAATGGCTGGGCTGAGCTGGGTGGGCTGGGTGGGCTGGGCATCCTGGTCTGCCCCCAGCTGGGCCTGGGGGGGGGTCCTCCTGCAGCTTCACATTTGTTCACGTTTTTTTCAGGATGGCACTGGATCTTTAAAACGCAGTGGTTCCTTTAGCAAACTCCGGGCCTCCATTAGACGCAGCAGTGAGAAGCTGGTTAGGAAGCTGAAGGGAGGAAGTTCACGAGAGAGTGAGCCAAGGAACCCCGGGTAACTATCTCCCCAGCCCTCCTGCCCACCCAGGTCCTTGCTCCTCACTAGGCCCCCCGAGGCACCTCCTGCTTGGGCCCAGATTCAGCAACGGGGAGGGGTTTAGTAGGTTCCATCTTTGTCAAGATGGAAATAATTGTAAAACTTCCTGTTAGAGGCCCAAAGGATTGATGCCTTCAAAAGAAATTTGTGGACTTCGATTTTGTTACATGTTCAAAGAAAGCCTTTGCCGGGAAAAGTGGGTATTGAATACTACAACACTGCGAGTTTGGAACTTGTTACCCTTGATAGGCATTACTTTTTTTTTTTTTTTTTTTTTAATTAGCATTAGTTCAAATCCTTTAAAATTTTAATCTTTCAAAATCACGTTAGCTATGACTACTTTAACTCTCATGCAGATATCATTATCAGGAGCAAAAAGGGTTTTGAAAGAAGGGCTGTAGTTTTATGGCTTTTAAAAAAAGTTTGTATTTTCATACTTTCAGTTTCTATGTGCTTGAAGAAAGGCGTAAGTCATGGGTCTTGGAGTCTTCTCTACAGTCACATCCACACTGCCAGTTTTCAGCGGGGCGTAGTGACACACACCTGTAATCCCAGGAGCTCAGGAGGCTGAGGCAGGAGGATCACAAGTTGAAAGCACTTAGCAAGATCCTGTCTTAAAATAAAATATAAAAAGGGTTGGGCATATGCTCAGTGGTAGAGCACCCTGGGTTCAGTGCCCACCACTGTGGGGCGGGAGGCGATCCCACGTGAAACCTTCTGTGGTCGAAATTTTGGTCAGCTCAGGGCCGTCAGTCCACCGGGGACCTGTGAGAAATGTCAAGTCCTGTCCTTTTCAGCTGTTTGTTATTTTGCCCTTTAAAACCATGTCCAGTCTGATCCCCTCAGTGGCATTTAGGACCTGTGCCCGAGACCCTGCCATCACCCACACCTGGTGCCTCCGTAGCCAGTAGAGGGTCTGGCCAGAAGGTCCACAGTGGCCACCACTCTGTCTGTGCTTGGCCTTCTTGGCCACTCTGTCCCTCTAGGAGTCACTCCACTTGAGGGTGAAAACTTCTGGTGGCTTTTGGGAGCTGGGTGTCCCTGGGCAGAAGCAGTGCTACGCTGCTGTGGGCCCCTCAGGAACACCGTGGGGGAGGTCAGGGTCCCTGCAGCTGGTGGAAACTGCCCGGGCCCTGGCACAACGCCCCTGGCTGGCCAGGTGCAGTGCTGCCGTGCTCTCTCACTTGGAAGGTGGCCCTGGACTGCCTTGGGGTGAGGTGTCTGATTGTTCCCAGACCTGGAGTGACAGGTCACACAGAGTGACAGGTACACCGAGTGACTCTGGAACGGCTGGATGTTTGCCTTTTTACGACGTTGGGAGGGGCCGACAGTGCCCCACAGCTGCTGGGTCTGACCCCGCAGGGGGACCTTTCTGAGCAGAACAATTTGTGCATCAGAACACCCTATCCAGGGTTTTAGTTCCTCAGAGGGAGGCACCCTGGCCGCTTGAGGCTCTGGACATTTTGAAGGCCTTGGTGTGCACACCCTAGTTCTGACTCTGAGCCCTGGGACACGGCCACACTTCCCACGTGAGAGCAGTCAGCATCCTTCTGTTGCTTCCAAGACCTGGCTTCTGACATGCTGAGTGCGGCCGCCCTGCACTGTGTCCAGTGCTGCTGCAGGGTCAGCCTGAGGATGGCAGTGGTGTCTGTGCTCACATAGCCCAGTGCGTCCTCAGTGGCCTTGGGGCTCCCATCCCATGAGACCACAAGGCCAGTGTTCTCGGGCACCTCCCATGGGCTGCCTGGCCTTCCCTGGTGTCCTGCTGTTGGCTTCTGGGGCCCCAGCACCTGCTTTTCTAGCCAGTGCTTGGGTGGGGCTGAGCCTATTGGCCTGGGGCTGCCACAGGAGTTGCTGACTGGATGTTCCAGGAGCAGGCTTTGGTGGCCCACTGCTGAGCTGGACTTGTGTGCCATCGTCCTGATGCCCCAGAGTGAAAGACAGAGTCACTGTGAGGGGTCCCGCCGCTGCTTTCATCCTGCAGAGTTGAGGGAGAAGGCTGCATTGCCTTCTTAGAAGAAACCAGCTGGCCGCAGGGAGAAGAGAGCAGTCGAGCCTGTGGACAGGGCTGAGCTGATGTGGCTGCACTTGGTCTGGAGTGGCCTAGGTAGAGGAGAACTAGTAGGGGCCTCTGGCAGCATCCGGGCGGCTGCTGGACAGTCCGTCCTGTTGGACACCCTGGATGGGTTCTGCTTGGGGAAAGGTAAGCTGTGGTCTGCGTGTCACTGTGTCAGCGAGAGTTGGCCCACAGCTGTTGGCTGGGCACCCTTGTCCTCTGTGCCCCCAGGCTCACTGGTGTCCCACGGGAGCACTCCAGTGACCTCAGCACCGCGTCACTGTGCGAAAGTGGAAGTGGCTTCGTGTCCAGAGGTGTCCGTGAAGGAGGTGAACAGTGCAGTGATTTTTGTAGCCTCCGTGATCTAAACCCAGGCTACAGGTCATTCCCTGGCCTACAGCTCAAGTACTGTAGTCATCAAACGGTGGGGAAAAGTGAATGTATATATAAATGGCTGTGTTTCTTTACACGTAAAGCCATAAAATTTGTTTTAAATGTTGGTTTTCTGAAGTAAGAAATACTGCCTTCAGAGTTTTTCTTACTGATGATAAAATTGCTTTTCCTAATATATAAAAAGTATGAAATACAGAACATACTCATGTGTCTGATGGATGTTCACAGTGAGCTCCATGTCTGGCCTGGGTGGGTTGAGCCCTGCATGAGGCCCCCCAGGCCTCCAGAGCCCCAGGGCAGGCATGGCAGAGGGGCTTGGTGTGTCCGAGAACCATGGGCTCTTTGTTGGGAGATGCAGGAAACTGGGCTTTTGTCTGGGGCATAAAACAGCAGGGACTTCCAGGGAAGGCCCAGTCCCCAGGGACCCCAGTGTCCTGCTGGCTGGTTGACATGCTGATCCATTTGTCCTTGCATGTCCGCGTCGGTGTCGCAGCATGAAGCATGCCAGTTCTCTGAATGCTCTTAACGTGGGTGGCGAGGCTGCAGAAGATCATTTCCAAGTAAGGAGCCTTCCCTGTCCTGCCCTGGCCGCTCAGCGCCGAGCCGTTCTGCCCATGCGGCAGGGATGTGAGTCGGATGGCCGGCTGTGCCAGCCTGCTCTCCCTGCTCTCCCTGTTGGTTGTGTGAGCCAGGGATGCTCAAGCTGCGAACACCCACGGGAGAGGGGTTAACCCAGTGATCTTGCACGTGGCTTGACCTAGTTCAAGCGATTTGTTCTGGTAGAGTAATGTCAAAGCTCGACCGATTCTCACGTGAGGAATCATGATTTCAGTCTCTAACTGGTTCTTTGCCTAGTTGAGCTGTAACCCAGTCCTCTAGATGGCCAGCACCAGGTGGCACACGGCTGGTGTGCGTTTGGACACTAAGATGTCAGTGCCTGGCCGCGGTCTACACCGCAAACGCGCAGCGCACTTTGTTTCATCTTGGCGCTCGTTTCTGTTGGCCTCTGTCTGCATCAGAAGTGACCTTTTCGATTTTTGTTTCTCTAGAACATCTGGTGTGGCCATCTCTTGGGGGCTTCAGAAACTGGCCCTATTGCTCAGGTCCCCAAGTAGACCTGGCAGCCCCAGTGGCCTTGACTCCCTCTGCTCAGAGCTCATCCACAGTTGCTGGTTCCCAGGCACCACACCTGGAGAGCTGGCAGCCCTTCAGTGGTCACCGACAGGAGGGCCTGGCAGCACCTGGGAGGCACTGCCCAGAGCTTCCCCAGGGCTCCAGGCAGCCACTGGAGGACACTGAGCACTCCTGGCAGTGAGACGGAGAGGTCTCAGTGCTGGGGACCACCCCACAACTGCGCACTGCTGTGGCCCAGCCCAAAGGCTGTGGTTGATGCAGACCTCTAGCCTCCAGGTCTGAGCACCGGAGCTGAAGAGCTGAGGAGTAGGCCAGGCCTGGGACCCCACGGAGCTGGCGCCATTGGGGGTGCTGGTTAAGCATGACGTTTTGTTTTCTTCATGCAGGAACGAAGTAACTGTTTGGCAGACTCGAGAGCTCTGAGTGCCAGCCACACTGACCTGTCCACTGAGGGTCGGGACAGAGCTAAATAGAATCCCCGAAACTAACGGAGCACTGAGACCCTCGCAGCCCTGGTGGTGGCCGAGCTTTCTTTCCTAGATAGTGACGGCCAACCTCAGGGGCTGCCTTTAGAAAAGAGTGGGCAGCCATGCCCAAGAATTCTGCATCTGGCGCCCGAGAGCCACCAACATGAGAGCCGGACACTCCTGCATCTGTCTGTCTCCCTCTTGCCCTGATCCCAGGCCTCTTTTAGACTTTGATACTGTGACAAGTCTGTAATGAACCAGAGACACAGAGGACGTCCTCTCGGAAGGGAGCTCAAGGTAGTCTGTTAGAGAAACCAGTGCAGGAGAGACGCTGCCGTGGCAGGGAGGAGGCTCGTCAGGCTCTATCTCGCGGTGTTGCCTCAGGGCCTCTGCAGGGCCAGCGTGGTGACTGACAGGGTATGGTCCCAGCCCTTGCCTGCTGGCTCCTTCAGCTCCTTCAGCTAAGCACCTTGACACCTTGACACGTGTCTTTCATTTTTGAAAAGCTTTTGAGGGGTGGATTTTTCAGGAGAACCATTCAGGCAGCGTGTGAGCCACAGGAGGCTGTGAACCCACGGCAGCTGGCAGGTTCAGGGTGCCGGGTGCCAGGTGTATCCCAGGCTGTGCAGCCTTTGCCGGGACGTGGGGTTTCAGTGCTCACCTCGCAGCAGCCACGGCCCTAACTTGTTTGCTTCTAGCTACCTTGAAGCATCCCTTTGCATGCTGCTGGGCGAGGGGCTGGTATGCTGGATGTGGGCTGCTGGGGCCCACGTGCTATTCTTGAGCCAAGGGCCGGAGATGACAGCAATGGGGGTTTTTGCAGCAGCTGGACTTGAGATGTCTTCATGTGCCCTGTGACTGGGTATCAGTTCTGGTTGCCAACTGTGGCTGTGGGAAGGGTGTCTGCTTCTGGCAGGCCCGCGTGTGCCCCAGGGCTCTGGCCAGCCTTCCTTCTGTACTGCCGTATGGAGGCTGCTGGCTAGGTTTGCACTGTTGCTTCTGAGGGGTCGGGAACTAGTTTTCTAAATGCTGTCTAGTGAGGTTTAGGACAGTCCATAGTGTGACAAGCTGCTCCCCACACAGCTACTCAAGAAAAAGGGAAGCTGCAGGCCCAGCTCCCTCCACTCCAGGCTGTGAGCACCCAGAGCGCAGAGCCCAGCCCAGATGGCCTTGGGCTGTCTCTGTGGGAATGCAGGTGGGGGGGGCAAAACCTGTGGCACCCAAGGAGCCACACTTCAGTCACAGGGGGAGCTGCATGGGATCTGGGGCAGCAGGTAGCCTGTCTCCAGTGTGGTCCTCTGCATCTTAATGCTCTTAGGAAAGAAGTGGCCACGTCCCAACTCCTCAGTGTCCTCGTTGGTGGAGACAGGAACCTAAGTGAGAGTGGCACTTGTCTCTTCAGTCTTTGTCAGTCCCAAGTTAAAAACCAATCTAAGCCAGGTGGTGCACACTGGGGATGCTGCGCCAGGAGGATCACAAGTTCAAGGCTACCCTGGGCAGTTTAGTGGGACTGTGCCTCACAAAGGCTGGGTGTTGCTCAGTGGTAGAGCGCTTGCCTTGCCTGCCCTGGGTTCTACCCTCACCACCACCCAATAGTGGCAGGAAGGTGGAGCAGGTGGAGCCCAGGGCCAAGTGTGCTAGTCACTGCAGGGACCATCCATAGATGTTACAGGAGAGCTCCCAGGTGGGCAGCACAGGGAGGCAGAAGCCAGACCTGGGGCTGGGCTGGGTCCTCCCAGTGGTCCTGGTGTTGACAGGGTTGGAGGAGATTAAACCTGTACCTTACTTTTTTCTTAAAAGAATTAAAAAAAATAAACCCCTGCATCTGGTGTGAAAGCTGTGAGGGGCACCATGCCACCAGGAACTCTTTTGAGTTCACGGAACACAGGCAGCTGCAGAGGCTGTCTGTGCCTCGGGGTCCGGGCGTCCTGGGTTCTGGGGCTCACGTTTGCAATCTGCAGCAGCACAGTGATCAGACTTCTGAGAGCAGGGTGTCCGTACCCCAGCCCCTGCTGTGCTGGCCAGCAGATGCGGCATGTGCAGGGTGGTTCCATGGTGCTGGGGGCAGGAACTCAGGCGTTCTAAGGGGGACCGGAGGAGGGTCTCCAGGGAAGGCAGAGGACCCTGCAGGGCCAGGGGCTCCCAGGGCCTCCCCAGGGGCCGCCTGCAGGGCAGACCCTGTGCAGACCACAAGCCAGGCAGGTGCATTCGTCCTCTGCTGAGTGGACGAGAGCTGTAGTTTATTTTCTAATTGATAGATTTTGCCTCAAAAGTCACTTAGAATTCTCTGGTTACACAAAAACAGTGTTTGACTTGCTGCCGTGGAGCCCCTGCACTTCTGCAGGAAAGCCGTTCGGGGAAGTCCAGCCCCAGAACAGCTTGGTGATAGTGAGTCTTGGCCTGTTGGGGCCATGGTGCTCTGGGGAGCTGGTGATGTGACGCCCACACATGGACTGTCTCACCTGGAGGAACGCATAGCCTCCCAGCTTTAGTGGGGGCTCCCCCTGCAGGGGCCCTGGGGTGTGTCTTAGGGCTGTATGACCTCCCAGCCACTTGGCGGGCCTGTGCCTCAGTCTCCCCACTGGAGAGCAGCGGCAGGGATGGCACAGGTCACAGGCGCAGTACCTAGCAGACAGCAGCTTCTTAATGAGAAGCCCACTGTTAACTCGCAGGCCTCCCTGTGAAGAGGCCATGTCCCTCAGGTCATGGCCAGGTGGTCAGATTCCAGGGTCCACAGCCAGATGAGCTGCCAGGAGGCTCCACCCTTCTAGCCAGAAGGGAGGCTAGGCTGGCCTGTGCAGGTGGTCCTGGCAGGCATCTGGCTGCATCCCCCAAGGTGCATGTTGCTGGTTCCTTGTGTCCTTTCATCAGCTTCCCCAAAGTTGCCTACACCCCAGGGGGTGGTTGAGGTGACCAGAGGTCCAGGGCAGTGTGTGCGGGTAGCTTTAGCAGGGTTGAGGACCACCCTGCAGGACACAGGCTCCCAGGTCCAGGGGAGGCTGGCAACTCTGACCAGCAGGGTGTGGGTGGGGCAAACTGAGGACGGGCCCAGAGCAGCCCCTGTGAGTCTCTGTAGAGCCCCCAGCCTCTGTGAGTCTCCTGTCCACCAAGGGCCAGCAAGCTGGTGGGTGAGGTGGGAGAGGGGGTGCAGCCTCAGCTCGCTGTTCACCTCTGGCTGAGGAGGGCCGATGGTGCGCTGACCCTGGTGGACTGCAGTGCTGTGCGTCTGTACTGGCCGCTTCCAGGGCTCAGCCAGACTCTGGGCTTCTTGGGACCTGGTCCACGTTAGCAGGACTCAGCCCTCAGTGCCCCTCGCACCCCTTCCACTTCAATTGTGTAGAAGCAGGAGGACGGGGGCAGATGAGGGGCGGAGAGTACCCGCAGGATCCGGGCCGGGTGGCCAGGGGGGCCCTGGGCGGCCTCCTCCTCGCGGAGCCGGTGGGCCATCAGCCTCACAAGGAGCTGGTTGGCCCAGGTTATGCCAAGGGCTGGGGAAATGTGCTCGTCCCAGGGCCTGAAACACGGAGAAAAGGCCGTTGCTGCTGTGGAAACAGTGTCCCCCTCCTGCGCTCAGTGCCAGGAGGTGCCAGCACTTACCCTGGTGGCCCAAGTGCTGCGCGCTGCTCCTCCACAGCCTCTGTCACCTGGAAAAGCCCAGTGGGGTCAGCTGTGGTGGCCGAAGGTCTCTGGGAAGTTTGTGTGTCAACACAGAAAGGTGCACGGCCACTCCCGCGCCGCTGCCCACCCTGCCTTCCCTGGCTCACGGCAAGTAGCTCTGGCCTTGGCCCACCTGGTTGATGCAGAGCACAGGGCTCCGGAAGGTGCTGCTCAGCCGGCGCAGCGTGGCCCCTAGGGACTGCAGGTGCCTGGCCCGGGTGGCCGAGGC